GCACCACATTTTCTTCATTTCAACCATTAAATTCTACCAAAATTACGACATTGATACCAGGGTCCTTTCGACTGATTTAAATATACAGTGTAAAGCGTAAAAAAAACATTATAGGATGTCCACTTTGATGCAGGTATGACTAGAGCTCATATCGTACTGCAGACGCATGTTTCGGCTTTAAAATCATCATCAGGACATACTGTTTTGTTAATAGAGTTAATTTTCATTATATAACTTTAAGCGTATGTTCTAAGGGCTCTCACTTGACAGGAGCAAGAGAATCAAGATTGTAAGATTTTCATTTAACTTGGCTCCGTTACATCAGAAATTTCATTGGTGGCTTTGAATAAGAAAAAATTACTTAATGATGTTTACTTGATGATGTTGTATCAAAAATTTTACTAAATGACGTTATTTAAAAAAAAAACACTTAATGACGTTATATTAGTAAATGACGTTATATAGATGACGTTATTTCAAAAAATTTACTTGATGACGTTATTTCAAAAAATTTACTTGATGACGTTATATCTAACACTTTACTTGATTATATCAAAAATTTTACTTGATTATATCAAAAATATTACTTAATGACGTCATATCCAATATTTTTCTTAGTGATTTGTAACTTGCTGAAGGAAAAAGGGAAAATGTTTCAAAGACAGGTTCTCAATTGCATTGTTGTTATGTCTTAAAAGAAATTATTGCGTTGAACATCGTGCAAAAGGTATCTGTTTTGAAACAATAAGAAGAAAAATGCTGAAGATTTTATAGTTCTATCAACACAGTGGAAAGGCAAATCGTCGACAATTGCTAGAAAATTATTTGTTTGAATGCACAAATCAATGGAATGGAGAGAAATAATAAGGATGAGAGTATTAAGAGACAGGGAAAGAGGAGGATAAATCTATTAAAGACTTAATGAAGCTGAAACAAACCTCATGGTCCGATTGTATTTTGTAAAGATATTGCTACAAGGCGGTGTGGGACAAGATCAGAAACCTGACGGCATTGGCAGGCATATTACTATGGTCAACTAATAAGTATGCCCTTGCTTGTTCTTCAAAAGTTTAGGCATAAACATAGGATATTCTCGTTTATGACTTCTTCTCATGTTCACCAAGGAAGCTTATTTTAAAAGATTCAATTGAAGAATGCTCCGGGGAAACGATATTACTCATCGGTCTACAACCAAATTACTCAATACACCTTTTAAACGAAGGCTATTTTAAAGGTGGACATAACCCAGCAAATTATTTGACCCGTACCGTCCTATGGATGAATTTAAGTAAGGAGATAATTGAGACGATTATTGTTTAAAAGTGTAAGAACTGTCAAGCCAGTCGCTTCTAAACATACATTCTAATACAGGACTCTCTGGGGTGCTATAATATTACGACCCCTCTTAATCGACAAATAACTGTCACTCGAGCTATTAATCAGTCGGGCAGAGAAAGAACCGTTTAGTTTCGTTTAGAACTCAGAACTCAGACATGGTAATGTATGTCTATCAAATTATGCGGCTAATTTCTGGAAAATTCAGTTTAAAAACTTATTGCACATGAATTATGTAAATCCTGTATACAGCAGAACTAGACTCAAGTTTTAGCGGGAAATTAGGCCTACTAAAACAGTTATTCGTAAATAAATGGGGCCTACTTATTTAAAAGCTAACAGATCTCAATGTCTTTTTGTCATTAGTCGTGTCTTACATTTCCATCCATTTTCGACAGGGCCTATCCAATATTTTCATAGAATCAGCAGACCATATTAGCTGACCAAGTTTCCGTTCACTGAATGCTCTAATATCTGGATGCAGGATATTGGTGTCGAAGGGAAATTCTTCTCTAAATAGGCCCCTATTTGGTATCAGAATGTCCGACTGGCCAGTTGATTGATGTGTTTATGGAACACTGTTCCATCAATGAAGCCCAAGTTAAATACTTCCATGGAAGAGCCAAATAGTGCCGAGTGAGAATTAATGGACAATGAACTGCGTGATAAGCAAATATTTGTAACAATTCGTGTCAAAAGACCTTAAAAGACTCATTAGACAGAAGATATTAAAGTTGTTAAGTGAGAGTTGGAAGATGGGAGTTTTATTTACACTTTAACTTATTTTATTACCAGTTCGTCTCATTAAATACTCTCTTCTTAATGTTTGTCATTCCAATATTCCTTCTTTATTACATTTTCTACTTTAAAACACCATGTCTACTACGTCATCAATTAGTGCGTTAAACGTCAACATTTAAAACGTTTAGATAAGCGTGTTTCTTGGTCGTAAAATTTAAACTTATTGTCCCCGTCGCAGTACTTAAAAATAATTTGGATTCAAAATATTTATTTTTTTCTCAACCCAAAGTACATTCTCTACTTTAAAACTACGTCATCAATTAGTGTGTTAAACGTCAACATTTAAAAAGTTTAGATCATAAAATCGTAAAATCCAAAACTTACGTTTTTCTGTCCCCGTTAAAATACCTTTATTGAGTTCAAAACATTTATATTTGTCATTCCAATGTCCATTTCTAGTACATTTTCTGCTTTAAAACATCATGTATACTACGTCATCAATTAGTGTGTTAAACGACAAAATTTTAAAACAGTCGTGAAATTTAAACTTTTGTCTCCGTCGCAGTAAGTTAGATTCAAAATGATTCCAATATTCCTTTAAAACGTCAATATTCAAAACGATTAGGTAACTGTGGACTGCTTCCGTTATATTACGTTAAATTATTGCATTACTTTTGCATTGCGAAAGGGGTATTTTTTCAAGTAATAACACCTGTAAATTGATGACCTGCAGCGACCTGAATATTAAATTTGCTAATTAGGAACACTATTGACTGTAATCACATGAATTGTAATTAAATTAGCCTCGAATCCATGGTATTATTGATAACAATTAGTTTTAATGATTAACTTTTAATATCTATTTACTTACCAATATCTCTTCCGGTTATATTTGATATCCGGACTAAGTGGAATGTACTTTAACTCTGTATGCTTATGAATTGTTGAAAAATGTTCTTCATTTTTTTGTGTCCGTGCCCCATACAGCTTTTTTTTATGGTTACATATGTGTAGGAAGCGGGATGGAAAAGACGGTAGCCCGAGATTAATGCGCTACTTATTCGGATGGCGATGAGGAAAATTTCGGTAATATAATATTGGATTTTAATGTAAGAACAAGGGGTTTATCCATGTTTATCCATGTATCTGCTTCATTTATGCTTGTAGTGAAGGGAAATGTTCCTCATTGTACACTGGACTAAGTTACCTGGTTTTAGCAACCCAGAAGGCCTCTATGGTGCAGAAAACAGCTCACAGAAAGTACCGTTTCTTTTGGAAGAGGGGTGCTTTCAGGTTATGGTGAAAGGGAGATAACTACTGACAAGATAATGATGCGATTCCAAATCTTGGAGGAAATCTTTGGTTCCATGATTAACATAATAGGCTACGGACTAGCACAGCATCCCACAGATCGGAACTACATATTGCAGCATTGTTTGTGATTCATACTTCCTGTATCTCAGAAACTGCTACAAAGTAATTCAACACTGAAGATATTTATGCTAATGGATTACTCCCTCAAAAAAAAATAATTCTGACATCCAACTAATTTCATTACTGCAACCAAATAACATACTCCATTGCCTCTCCGGATATATTACTTGCCCCTCCAGATATATTACTTGCCTCCCCGGATATATTACTTGCCTCCCCGGATATATTACTTGTCCCTCCAGATATATTACTTGCCCCTCCAGATATATTACTTGCCTCTTGCCTCTCCGGATATATTACTTGCCTCCCCGGATATATTACTTGCCTCTCCGGATATATTTCTTGCCTCTCCGGATATATTACTTGCCTCTGGGAATAATCAAGTCTGGCTCCGGACCTGCATCTAACACGCTGTTCAATGCCACCCATAGCCAGAGCACATTGTAGACAGAAAAATGTCCCCATTGATAGTCTGATAATACAGAAATGAGAAGACTATGAGAAGTTAAATAAGAAGAAAATGTGACATGAGTTTACTGTAGGCCTTTATTTCATTACGGTGAATTGCTTCCCTTGGTTTTAAAACTTTACGTTTGATCTTCTGTATCCGGTCGGGATGTAACATCTGGTTTTTCAACCAGATTTCCCCCTGTAAGTGATGCAGGTTGGAGGGACTGACATGAAAAAAAGAGTTTATTTGTTCGGATGGGACAATAAACCGAGGCACAGGTTGTTACCTTGTGTACGTTACAGATCCCTAGAAAGTTGGAATTCGAACTATGCCAGTGTCCTGTCAAAATTTTTCTCATTGCATACCATAATTGCTTGTTCTTAAGTTGTCCTGACGATTGACCTTCTATCCGAAGCACGTTTCAAACACATGAAATAGGCTATTATCAATGTCAAGGCAGTCTATATGTAAGAGTTTTGCACCAGAACCCCCTCGTCATCCAGGAAGCTTTTAAGTTGGCTATTTCAACACCATGTCGTCATTGACCTTCTCGTTAATCTGAAGAGTACTGCATAATTGTTTTTAATGAATAATTCAGAATGAATTAAAACTAACCCATGACAAAAAGCTGTGGATATGAAATTAATCCGCCCTGAAAAGATGAAAATACATAACATGTACATCGCCAAACACATTAAAACCTAGATAAACAAACTCAACAAAAAGTCAAAAACTTTTTGTTTACTAATTCAGCCTTTCGTGTCAATAATTACAATCCACCTTTTGAAAGTTTCCCAAGAATAATTAGTGTCGTTTCGTAAATAGAATTTATTGCGTATGAAAATTTCAAAATACTGCATTTTAATCTTCCACACGTCGCGCGCCAATAACGACAACTCTTGACGATGCACGTGCCCCTCCCGTATTGACATTCTCACCATATTAACGTCACAGGTGGATTTTGGCGGCAATAGTCACGATCTGTTTAGAAGAGACGGGATTAAATCAAAATACTGTCAAGTTAAATCTGTAAAATTCAGTCGTGTAAGAACTTCATCGAATTCATTTCGTCAGATCTGGAAGAGAATATTATTAAAGCAAAATGCTGGAATTAACTTCGATGCTTTCTTTATTTTTCGGTAAGTTTTTTTGAAAGTTTAACTAAAAGGTTTGAATTTACATTTTGATTTCAAAATACTATTTTAAATTTGTTCTAACTGATTGCTATAGGGACATTTTGCCAATCTTTTCCAAATGAAGCAAGATGTTAGATCATCTGAATTAAATGCTTTAAGAGTGAAATAGCCTTTAAGATTGTTTTAGGAAATCAAATATATGTGTATAAAATCAACTAAATGATGAATTCTGGTCCTGCGCTCAATTTTCACTATTGTTAAAATCTGTCGTGACTCGAACTGCAACTGTTTTTTAAACATGGTCTGTCCCGTTACATTTTAAAGCATACCGCCACCAACTTGTCATCATTTGCAAATGCATCCGATTGGAAAAAGTCGTCTGTCTTTGATTCCACTTGACAAGAAGTCGTAGGATCAGTCGGTAGTTTGTCAGAATTTTGTCGTCATCAACAAAGATGAAAAACCAAGGCTTTTGAAAGTTTGTCCTCTGAGAACTTACAGTATCAACATTTAGAAACAAAATAAGGAATTCGTGGTCAAGGCTTTAATTGTAGCCTCCATCGACAAAATAGACAAGAATAATACATAAAGTATTTCTTCCAATGAACAGTTTGTCTTCAGAAAACCTGCAGTATCAAAATTAAGAAGCAATTTGCGGAATTCATGGTCTAGCTTCTAAATTCCAAATATATTGTTAATGAGATAATAAAAAGTTTAGATAGTAAATTATACTGTAGAAACAGGGCGGATATCAACTATATTTTACATCAATGTGTATTGAGAGAGTCAACGAGGGATATCTCCTAAATCATCTTAACTCTTCTCCGATTGTGTATGCAAATTTGACTTTTTAGTAGTTTATTTTGGAAATAAACGCTAAATTTCTGTATAAATTGTTAACTAAATTTACCAAAGAAACTGAGCGACAATTTGTTAACACCAAAAATTAAATTCCTAATGATCTGTGACAAATTTAAAGAAAATCTAGGTTTTCAGATCTGAAAATATCATTACATCGCATCTCGACACAAACGGTTGTTTCACTGCGTTGAAAAATCACCATGAGTATCAAATGATAGAGTCGACACTTTTTGAAATTTTGCATGCTCTTATCTTTATTGTTTTCAGCTCTGTCACATGTACTAAGTAAGCTTTTGAGTCTCAATCTTTTGTTTCTGATCAACCTTGCAAATATTTTGCTATTATTCAATGCGTGTGGTAAATTTTTGAAGGTATCTTGACATTTAAATTTGACATAACAATTGTTTCGAAAGCTTCTTTAAACAACGTCGTAAAAAATTTACAAGATCACAAAATTTCAAAACGTAGTTTTGTCGCGAAACAAATATTACTCCTATTGTAATGATATATTTGTCTTCGTGAAATGACTTCGTTTTATTTGATATTCATAGCTTGATCTTGTCTTCACGCCCTAACAAGTGAAAGACATGTAACCGCGTGTAGACAAAATTCCTTAACACACAGGAGTAAAGCAGGGAGCGCCTCTTAGACCATTCTTATTTCATATAGATCTTGATCTAGATACTTGACCTTTACAAAAGTTTCCAATTTTGACTTGAGTGTTTTATTTAGATTGAAATGAAATATTAGACTAAAATAACCTGAAACAAGGAGTGTTTGTAAGAATTTTATTTTTTATTTTTTTGCATATCATTAAAATAGAAATAAACTGAATCGAAACATTACCATTTACAACGAAATTATTTTGGCGGCAATTACTGGTTAACGTCATTAGATAGGCATATAGAACATTTCTTATTACTAAATCTTCCTCACATGAATATCCCACGTGCTGCTACAAATATATTGCCGAAGTGTTATTTTGTATTCAGGGTTTTTGTTTTGCGGCTCGGATCGTTAGTATTTGGCTTTCTTATTTTCATTGTTCTAATACAAATATTTGAATGCAAATGAAAAAAAGAACCCGAATTGCTCGATGCATTTGTAGAAAGGATGTCAATGTCTCTCAAACACTCAAGCTCAAGCTCTACCATTTAATAACAGATTGTTGACGAAACGACAGAATATAAAGACCCCCATGACCTTTAAACTATCAATGGACAACAACTTTTCATTTCATCTTGACCTTTCTTGATAACTTTCTTTTCTTTCGACCCTGATCAAGCTTCAGCCATGTTTGTTCATCTGCTAATTAATGCCAATCTGCCATCTTTGCTCACAGCTTCACGAATAAACGAGATACTAGAAAATCTCGAGGATGTATAATATATTTTGTTGACTCGTGAGTTGCGTTGGAAACTATTCATAGACACCATCGAGAAAGGCTGGATTTGTACAGCATAGGTGAAAGTAATTGCTTGTGGAAGGGGCAGAGGTGGGGGGGAGCCACTCCACCTCATTCAATTTCATTGTGTGTAGCGGTTGACTGTCGTTTATAATTGTCCGAAAATGATGGTTTGGTAGGCATTCCAATAAGAAAAAATTATGATTTTTTTTTATCTTATTTTAGACCATTTCATACGTATATTTCAGTACTGTTACTAGTAAAATTACCAAATGTATCGTCGTTTGTCCCGGTCACCTGTCCTCAGATAGATTTCAACCAGAAGATTCACCCGTGTACCCGTGAATACAACCCCATGTGTGGTAGCAATGGGAAGACATACGCCAATACTTGTGGTTACTGTGCTGAGCGATGGGAGAGTCTGAAACAAGGAAGACAGTTTCCTGTGGTCATTGATCGACAAGGTAAGGACTATTCTTTTAAAAAAGGCAGTGGTTTGATACGTGATGGACATTATCGTATCCCGAGTACGGGTTTTGACGCTTAATGACGGGCAAGTATGACGAATGGTGGTGTGGTTTGGACACAATGTATGGACATAAGCAAACATGACAATGGTGTTTATTGTTTTTCGTTTGTATGAGTAAGCCAATTTCTTTATTTCTTTTTCTTATATTCCAGGTGTTTGTACAACAGCTTCTCCGTTACCCTCGACCAGTGGTGTCGTCCCTTTCTTTCAAACTGTCATCAATAGATATTTCCCATCATCCACACCAACTTCCGGTTCTCCATTCCCCTACCCGTTTGATATTGGTAACCGTGGCAACAATGGAGGGAGCTTTTCTAATGCCTTTTGGCAATATTTGAATCGTAATGTCCAGTCTCCGTTTCAACGGCAACCACAACCGCAGCCATTCAGAGCGAATCTGTCATTTGGACGAACGGTAAGTATTTGCTTGCTTCTTTCACTTTAAAGAACTAGTATTTGAAAGGTCACGTGTTCTTGAGAGTTACTGTTCTTGAAGACTTGGGTCAGAAACTTGGCAAGGGTAACACGTTCTTAATTTTGATAGATAAGGCAACATAACTTGCCATTAAACACTCAAAATTTTGATAATGATACCTAAATATGGCATTATCACAACTTCTTCTGGATCGGCGATCCATTCAAACCGCCATGAAATGTCTTCCCTTCCACACCTTCTGTCATGTTCGGCAAGGTTTGTACAGTAAGTGTAGGTGTTTTCATTTGTTTCTTTTTAGGCCAACTGTGGATCGTACGGACCAGCGTGTTCCAGATACGGTTTCGTCTGTGGTTCTAACGGCAAAACATACGTTAACGAGTGCGATTTATGTTTATCCAACACCAGGTTTGGATTTAGTGTAACGATCGCTAGAGATGGTTTTTGCTAAATAATACATACGCGACCATTTCAGAACTGTCTGTCCCGGACTCCTTTACTTGTAGATATGCGTCTTGTATAATTACGAAGTGAAAAAATCAACAACCAGCTTTCTAAATCGACCTTCCAGACGACTGTTCTTCCAAAGTCAACGGACTTGTTAACTGAATGTCTCTATAACTCGACAATAGCATAACGATGGAACATCCTAGAACATATGGACATTGCTCTCGCATAGAACGGAAAGATTTTAATGACAAGTTTTAGTCAACAATTTATTAATTAAAAACACTAATATTTGCAAATGTTTCTTACGATTGCTTTAAGTGGATTATATTTTTCATAATATTATTTCTTTGTAAGACTGATTCATAGTTTTTAAAAATTGCAATTCTTTTTTTTGCCATGCTTATCCTTAATTTAAACAGTTTTCGTGGCTCAATCTACACAACATCTATCAACAAACATCATCAGACATGAAGTTATCTATAAACTATCAATATCCTTGCGCTTCGTAAAGAAAATAAGTCAGCCAGAGAAATCTTTTGAGTGTTGGTAATGAATCGTTAATCAAAATAATGTTCTTATTGTGTATTATTTATGTTTCTTATTATAATATATTTATCCTTAAAATGTTATTAGTCATTCACCGTTGTCTTTCATCGCTAATGTACGCTTCAAATAGTTAATCAGCCTAATGGAAATTAAGCGATATAGCGCAGACTTTCTACTTCAGCTACTTTCTTTTATGATCTTGGTAAGACGTGATGACATTCTGACATCAATCGTTTTGGAATACAGAGCATAATTATGCTTATTGCATTCTTCTGACACTTGTTTTGGATACAAAGTCCTAATCAGGACAGCTAGTTTTGGGGGCAAGGAATAGCTTTCCAATTTGGGACTTCCAGTAAGCGAACTGAACAGAAGTGAGAATAATTAACTTGAAGTAGAACATAATAATTTTACAAGTGCATATCAAAAGTAGGTCATTCACTGTTAAGTCAATCGTTTCGGGGTTATCGTCCTTGATGGAGTTATTGATTGAATTATCTTAGTTAACTTCATCATTTAGAATTTGGGTATTTTTCGGTGTGCAATGTGGCAATTTCTTATCGATGTTTAACTGTCAATATACTCTTACAAGCATGTCTGTAATCCATGGGGACCCATTTTATTCCCCCATGCGAACGACTAAGCGTTTTTTTTTTGCATAAGATAGTAAGCATTAAGGCGAGGCCCCACAAATTGACATGAAAGAACAATTTAATAGTCACACGACTCTGAGGATTTAAAACAGTTTTTACCATTATTATTATTTAAGCAAACTAAAAACATCTACGTAAAAAACGGGTTTTCGATTCCTTTCACGAGTTTTTCTAACAATTGAAAGTCTAATGACAGTTTTTATTCGCTTGATTAACGTTATGGCTTTGACGTTTTCTTCACTGAGGCATTAAGAAGTGTTTTCTCTGAAACGTATCCTCACAGTGTCAAGCTATTACGAACTGTGTCTTGTACCCAGTGGCGGAGCTAAAGGGGGGGAGGGGAGGGGTGCAGAGGGGGCAGCCGATCGAATATCATCTCTGAGATAAAAGAAAGGTGGCTATTGCAGTCAAGGTATTAGACACAGTTCGTAATATCTTGACATTGTGAAGATGACTAAAAGGAAGATTACCTTCAATATTTTACGCAGTTTTTTATTTTTGGGGGGAGGGGGGTTGAGTTACCTGGTATAACTTTAAACTTCGAGAGCATCAGCTCAATGGACGTCAAATTTTAGTTCAAAAAGTTGAGTCTTCTCCAGTCGTTAACTGTCCCAATATTTATCAGAAGCTGGAAAAGTGGCTTTGGATAGCTCGTGTTTTAATTCATGACGAGGTTTACAACTGTCCTAACGACAGAAAACTTACATATAATCACAAAATGATTATCTAAGTTTGTTCATTTCGTTGTCTTTAACTTTTCTATATTTTTGAATAATTTTGGGACAATCTGATTGGTTGATACCGTCATTATAATTAACCAATAAGCGACCTTTTTGTACAATTGACGTAATGTACGATATCTATGACAACAATGTTCAAGTCTAAAGAATGTCTGATAAACTGATGATAATTGAGTTCAGTTGATTCCTGAGAGAAATCCTTGACCAAGAACTTGTTCGTCTCTAGAGACTAGTTTTATAATACAATGTTTATTTATATATCGACTAGAAGAATTTCCACTGATAATACACATCAATAGAGATATGGATTGAACAATATCTTTTGTCTGAAGATTGTGCAGTGTGAAACTCCAAAACCAAGTGCGTAGTAATCCAAACGTGAAAGTTCCACTAGAGCTCTGAAATAGATTCAGTGTTACAAAAACTGAGTAAGCAAATGTATGGCATTTCGATGACTATCTTGTCTAGATCGAAGAGAGGTAGACTTGAGCAAATGTAACAAATTGCTTATTCCTTCGATGCGAAAATTCGTGTTTGAATAATCAGAATGCATGTGCATTTTGAGATGTGGGCTTGTTTGATTGGTGTTTACTCACTGACCGTTGTAATAGGTGATAATAGTGAAACTGAAAACAATAAGGAATCAAACTCGGTCTATACAGTGTATAACAGAGAGCAATGTTCCAAATTGTGTGACTATTACTCTAGTTGTGGAGGATTTACCTATCATGTTGGAAGACAATCCTCGGAATGTAAGTTGTTGTCTAAGAAAACAATGGATGAGACCCCACCTGAGGAAATCAGCAGTTCGACCAAAAACTTATATTCTAGAAATACTTATCAGAAGGTACGGCTATTATTGTTTTTCTTAATTCTATACCCAACTTTTTCTTTATGGTCCTTGGGGTTAGGAATCCAAAATGGGAAATTTGAAGGATGGGTAAGGCGTAGGGGGTAGGGAATGTCTTTTAAGAGATAAAGAGTTAATATGCCCGAGTTTTGCTCAAATTTGTTACGTCCAACGCCGAAACCATATCAACCTCCAAGCATCTTCGTTCAGACTAGGACGTAAAACTCCATTTTTCGTTTCATTGCCTTATCTTTGTCTAAATAAAACAACTTGTCAATGTATCTTTTGGATTATTTTTTAGAAACGTCCCTCGCCAAGCCCTTGTGATCATAGAGACTGTAGAGAAACTAGTTTTTGTTTTCCTGTTCTCGGGACCAGATCTTACTCTTGTTTACCACGGGGTAAGTTAAAGTTGGGGTTGGCCATCTTTATTACACACATTTTCTTTATAATGTACTCTTATAGTCGTATAATGAAAAGTTAACCCCCATGGTAAGAGACAGTGTGCTTCCGAGTGTCGATATTATTTTCAAAATATGTGGGGCGGATCTCCTGCAGTTGATGATGACACCCTCCTTCCCCCTCAATAACGAATGCTGCAGACAGTTTTGTTGGATAGTAAATTTCGCATGTTTTTATTTTTAATAGAGGTCAACTGCGGGCTTTATGAACCCCCGACCACAATGGAAAGGATCATTGGATCGATCCGACAAATATGGTCGTATAGTGCTACTGTTTCAGTACGGTGTAAACCCGACTTATACCGAAATAGCGACGTATCCGTTAACTCGAGGTGTGGGTCGGATTCGACTTGGTCTCGACCGAATCTAGTTTGTGAGGGTAAGCTACACTATATTTAATTGATTGTTCATAGACATCCCTCAACCTTCAATGGACTCTCCCATACACGTGCGTTTCCTATAAATATAGTACAGTATTTGAAAAGAGTTCATTTGCTTGATCAGGGTGGATTTTCATTAACATTCTAATTACTCACAAATGGATTTATTTTGTGGTTAAGGCTTGGGCAACCTCATAGTCTCCGATACATTTCTACCGTATTTCACTGTGTGAGGTAAACGTCGTGAAAAGGGTCTGAACTTTCGTGATGTCCCGACTGGTCAATTAACTCGTAAATATATTTTAGAAATCATTTTTTATAATGAATATATATTATTTCCTTTGAAGACTAGGAATTTCAAATGTGTTTCCTATATTAAGCAGAGTCTCAAAGACGATCAATCCTTTTTAACTTACTTGAGCGTATTATTCAGGACGCTCATGGATTTAAGGGCTCAAATTTCGACGGTGAGCTGTGAACACTATGATTGATTATAGCTTAACTTAAATTCCCGTTTCTGAGACGTAGATATGACAAACCTGTCCCTTTAAGTAGTTTACAAGGAAGATCCGAATTACTGCTCTATACTTTCCAGAGAAACATTGTAGTCCAGATAATCTTCCAGTCGAAATGGAATTGCCGGATAGCAGAAACTATGGAATTAGAGAAAGAGGCGAAGTTCGGTGTCGCTATGGTTGGTATAGGACGTCCGGTAGTGAGGGGTTGTCATGTCTGTCAGATGAAACATGGAATATTGATTTGAAATGTGAAAGTAAGAAATTAACATTTTGAATATGTTCGAGAGGCATTCGAGGCGAGAGGATTAAAGGCCCCTGGCTACAATAGGCAAAGAGGTGGGGGGTTGGGGTTGCTCCTCTGAGAAAATTCTTACAACCGACCAATTCCATTACGGCTACCTAACGCCATACACCATTTCCCGAATATATTACCCTGCCCCTCCGAACAATCAAGTATTTCTACGGACCTTGAGGGATAAGAAATGTGTGTGTGTTTTTTTTTTTGGGGGGGGGGGGGGGGGGCTGGTTTGTTCATAACAAACTCATTCTTATCCACCAGTTATGTCCAGGCAGTCAGCAATGGGGGATATTTGAAGCATGACGGGCCGCCCTTTCTTCCCCCTTGATACCATAATGCAGTGCGTCTCAACCTCCTTCCGGAAAAGTTCTTCCAAATCTAATACTAAATTACTAATTTACTATTCGTAAGATAGTTATGTTGAAACGTATTTCACCAAAAAAAAAATCGCCCCCCTCTCCCCACCTTGCAGAAATTCTTCCTCATGGTCTTCCTATTCTTACCCTGTTGAGAGGCATTGACATGATGCATCAGACTGTTGAGTGAAATGAACGCTTTAGTACTTTCTTTATGGGCTTTTAACTTGTACACCCCATGGGAGCTAAACTAACGTTAGAAATAAGCGAACAAAAGAACAGAAACTCAACATGGGTTAACTGTTTATAAAGAGAAGAATAACTCTCAACTGTCGTATATTATTCATTGAATTGCATGGAGCATAACAGACAATAACAAGAATCAATAGATCCTAACACAAGATTGTTTATTCCCGCCAATATGCTTACATTGTTCAGACGACGCCTCTTGAGTCTTATATTGAAAAATGAATCTCCATTATGTCCTGATGATTATGTCACAGCTCTCAGAATTGAAAATATTATTGGCTTAAAGGCAGCCCCGTCGCCTGGAATGAATTGGTGCTGGGGCTCAGATTTTATACTCTTATAAGTCTGGAGAATTAAAAGCCCAGAGAGCTCAAATGTGTAACAATTTTGTGGTCCCATAAACGTATCAAAATCTTTTGATTTTGTACAAAGACACTGTAAACTGAAGAAGGTTTTGCTGGGGCTTAATTCTCACTTGCTGGGGCCAAGCCCCCACGGACCCCACCCTAACGACCGGGCTGCTGAAAGGGCGCTCTGAAAGATAATGTCAAGTTGACAAACCAACAGACAAAAATAGATACTTCAGACATTTCTATGTGAACTCTGCAAAGAGCATAAGAAAAAGGCAATAAAATGCAAAAATTCTCCGTCCTCCATCATATTTTCTCTCTTCTTCAGGAGTGCGATGCCCCGTTGATTTGATCGGTAATGACATGAAAATAACGGCTATGACTGGCGATGAACCCGTATTTGAGGTAGAAGCAACAATTGCCTGTGCCAGGGGCTACAACAAAATAAATGGTACCGGTTTATCGTCTTGTCAGGGAAACGGAACCTGGTCAGAATTTGATCTACAGTGTCAGAGTAAGTATATTATAATAGTCCACCCCCAAAAAATGACTCCCCATAAAAACAGATATGGAGACTATCGAAAGGCTTGCAGCGTTCGCTGGCCTTATCAAAATTATAAGCCTTGTGGACTCGTAAATACGAAATAAACAGAAGTTGTTGTGGACACGCAAAAAGGGTGCTGATTGACATTATTGGCTAAAAGATCTCTCTGGAAGGGATGACTACACTCACAAATTTTATTGCTTTTCCTTCTACGACTTTCTCGCTTTTATGTATTTCCATCGTAAAAATAGTTCCTCTATTTGATAAATGTTATGCATTTTATATTGAAGTTGTTGATTGTGGACCACCGCCACTGCTAGATAATACCGGTTTCCAAAATCCTGTGACCAGAACGGTTTATCAATCAGAAGTCCTGTATAAATGTATCGATGTGTACCGGAAATATGGCGGAGAGGACAATATC